GCAGGTGTACGGCTGTACGCACTGTGAGTACCATGAGCGCTCAGACTGACCTCAGATTTACCCCGCAAACATTTCAGCAGTTATCATAGGCCAGCCTGTGTGTCCCATATTACGCCAAATAGAAGCAGAAAATCGTGCTATACGCACTTTCATGAGATTGGGTTAGCCTACAACAATTAATTTGTTGACTATTTCACAAATGGGAATACAACAATTCATGACAATGTTTTACATTCAAGCTACCCGTAAAATTTATAGTAAAAATTTAAATTAAAAAAGTAATTTTTAAAGCTGTTTTTAAAGTATTTGCTGCATGGATAAAAAATAGGCTAATAAATAATTCACATATCAGACAAAATTGCCTTGCAGAAAATCCTTTAAATTTTAAGGTATTCAGAACAGAACATAAAAATCTGAAAATATAAGCAGCTATACAATTATAGGACAAAGTTTTACATATGCCATTATAATTTGTGTTTTATTTTTGAATTGTACAGAATTATAAAATAAAACGCAAATTATAATCGGGCCTGTTTTAGGCTTTACCTTATTTTTATATTTTAGACATCCATCAATTATGGTCTTGAAAAAAATGACTCGCCATCTCCTCATTTATCCTGCCTTTAGAGAGAAATGCATTTCTATTTTCGATTTGAATTATTTCATTTTAAAGTAGTAATTTAATGAACTGTTTTACATATAGATTTTATTTTAGGCAAGTTGTGATGATTTGAGAAGGCTAGATTGATCTGCCGCTGGCCGTGTTACTTTACAAAAACAAAACAAAAAAAACTTACATTTAACGAACAAAAAATGCTCCTAACGTTTTTCTAAATTAACTTCATTTAAAAAAAACGAAACGAAATATAATCACTTTTCCATTACATACAAAACTGAACTATTTTAATAGCTGAAACAGAAGTATAAGCTTTTTTGGGAAAAGGGGAAAAAAGACTGACAAGGGCCTATATTCGAGGCCCCTGCAGGGCTCTATTCCACTTCATCTAACGCTGTTTTGTTCTCTGTTGATGTAGAACATGTACATAGTATTTTAATTTTCCAATATATATCATTAATAAGTTAATAATTATTATTAATAATAATTTTAAAAGACTATATTATATATGGTAATAATAATAATGTATATGTTTGTTATTTATATTTTATTTCAAATACTATATATATATAGAGAGAGAGAGTATATTTTATCATATAGAATATATTAGTAGAATATATATTAATATTTTTTTTATTACATTTGTCGTTCAAACTTATTTCAGATGTACATTATAGATTCTGTGAAAATCAAATGACATCTGGCACAAGATGTCCCTGGGGTCTTCTTCTTGCCCTAATAGTGGAGCATGATGATAGCACATGATAATAAATTTGTATTATAAATGACTAAATATATTTCCCCTGAAAACATGTTGAATAATGCATCATAATTCTGTACATTCTAAACATGTTATATTTTTATATTTATGCGTGAGGTGAGCTCAATCTGTGTCTGCTCTGCTCTTCGTGAATGGGGTGCAGTGTGTGATTTCTGCCGCTGACAGCAGTCTTGAGTTTGTAGCAATTTGTCATTAATTTATATGTTATCTCTAAAGGGAGAAAAAAAAAGTGCTGATGCTGTTTTTGCTGCCCACCCTGCACATTACTGACGGTAAGGTGAACAGCATTTCAATGCCTCGGAGCGATCCTCGGAAATTACTCCGCTTCTAGTTCAAAACAGGTTCTGAAACCAAAGAGGATCATATATAATTACAGGCAATTTACTAAGAAGAACACTAGTGCATTTAGGAGTGAGTGAATGGCAAGGCGTCTAACTTGTCAGTTGTATTCAAATGTAGCTTGGAAGAACTGAAAATTAAGTGCATTTTGTGTCGCATTGTTCTGAAAACAAATATGGGGATTAATGGAGTGCTGAAGAGCGCATATGCAAAAATCCACTGACAGGCAAAGCAGCACATTGAGTCTCACGGTGCGCGAGAGAGAGAGAATTCAATTTTTCCACAAGCTTTCAAACTGCAAATGCTCCTTGCAGCTCTGAGAGAAAGATTAGGCTATCAATCTGCTCTACTCATACTGTCAGCAAGCACGAGAAATCTATGCTGCAAAGCAGATACTGAAACAAACAATCTGTGAGGCAAATTATTCTTAACATCGTCATCATCATTTATTACTGCTGGAGCAATCGGGAAGGAGAACAGTATTTTAAAATAGCTTGTAAAGATAGTGAAATGACTATCCGAGATGGTAAACAGCCAAGAAAAGCAGAGACTGGACTAAAATAACAAATAGGACACATACAGGCAGTATATACATATAAAAAATGTTTGGGCTTGACAGGAACTTGGTGAATCATTCAGTATTTAATCCATCTAACCCAAAAAAAAAAAAAAAAAAACCTGTATTAAGCATGTTGTCTGTTATGGCTCTTATCCATGTTCATTTATCTGATTGGGATCTGTGTTTGTACAGAGGCTGTCTTCACCTCTCATGTCAATGTGTGTCACAGTGCAGTGGGATGACTGATGGTGTGCTTGAATGCACTTGCTATTACCGCTCACTGTCTCAAATAAAGGAGTTTAATCATAGGCTGACATGGCGTTTACAGCGCCGCCCTCCTCCAATCACAAGGACGGTCACATTCTATCACACTGCTGCAATAAAATCTGCAGAGCAGAATGACTTAAAAGCTGGCTGACGACCAATATCTTACTCATTCTAATCTCATAATAAAAGAGATTTAAGATGTTGACGACATTTAAAATAACCTTAATTACGAAGATGTGCAAATATATTATATAATGATTAACAGATTATTGAATAATGTCATGAAACTTTGATTCATGCTTAAGATTACAATAATATATATATTTTTTTTTTCTTTTCTTATCCTCTTATTATATAAGCTTTATAATTTCATTAATAAAATGATCAAACATTATTGCATTACACAATACCTTTCATTATATAAAGTATATAAGATATCTATCTATCTATCTATCTATCTATCTATCTATCTTCTCTGAAAATTACTCTGAGGTCACGGTTAGCTCAAGTGCAGGTAAGAATACTGCATTTGAAATACTGATACAAAATATTTACAGTTCAGTCGTTTAGCAGATGCTTTTATCCAAAGCAGCTTACAAATGAGGAGCATCACAAGAATTATATCATACTGCAATGGCAATTTTCAAAAATGGTAATGCTGAAAATTAAATATAAGCTGTTTTGAACATCTTATATTAGAAAAGGTGAAATATATAAATTAAGATATCTATCTATCTATCTATCTATCTATCTATCTATCCATACATGATACATACATAAATAAAATTATTAATGAAGATTAATACAAGAAAATAAGATATAATTAAATATATAACCAGCAATATATATATATATATATATATATATACTGTATATATGTGTGTGTGTTAATTAATTATTAATGTGTATCTAATTATGCCTTAATTATTTACAATTAATTATTAATTGTTAGTATGTATTATTAATGTATTTATGATCATATTTATTTATTTATTATTAATAACATTTAATTATTTTTCAAAATTATCTGCTATTTGCGTGGCCATACATTATATCTTCATCTAAATCCTGGGCACCTATATGTATTCTATTCATAGTTTCATCCAGCTCTTCAGAATAATAAGCCCGCCCCCAAAACAAAATCATGTCTTATGATTCAAATGTACCAAATCACATTTAAGTCTGCTCAGTTCATTTGGGTTAGGCTGTTATATGAAGCATGAATGTGATCACATCCATAATCACCAGCTGCCCCTCGTGACTGGAGATAAAACATTGCATAAGCCATAAAAATAGCTGACGTAAATGTTACATCCTGTAATTTAGGCCATATGCTACAACTTTTAAGGGCACAGCCATACATTACGAAATAAGGCAAATAACTACATGAGCAAAACCTCACTGGCATGTATGCAGCACGCATATTAATGTTCATAAATATAAAAAAAAAATTATTTGTATGACAGATCTAGTTTATATTCGTCTCCACTGTGTGAAAGCTCGACAGCAATATCAAATCGTTTCTTAAAATCAGCCCCGCGACTTTAATTCTCGATAAAAAGCAACATTAGCGCGACTAAGCGCTCCATCAAGAGTCTGATCGCTTTGTTTCTCTCAGCAAACAAACGCGTTTCTTACCATGGCATTTATTCGCCTAAAGCACACGACGACAGGGGCGTAATGTTGTTTTTTCGCACTACCAAGGACCGTGCTCAGATCACAGCGGCCATAATGGCAACAATTCAAAAAACGATATTAGAATGTTTCCATTAGTCGCGTTTACACGCGCTTGATACATTTCAACAGCGTTTGCGATCATGAACGGCGCTTCTGGATCGTAACTATCCCGATCACATCCCGCCATACCCAAACTCCTTATCGCGCCTTAATGTTGCTGCGTTAGTATAATGATTATATTAAATGATTATACAGTAAACGCATTCGATAAATAAAAGGAAGAATCTCTGCAGGAAATGTTTCGGGACACTCATACAAACCTCCTTTACACAGGTCCCGACAGAGGCGTACCAGCGTAATCGCGCATATTATCAAATACCGCGGTTTGTTTTGCGTCTAAAAAAATCGGTTGATCTATAATCCGTGCTTGCATTCAGAGCATTTTCATAATCAGCGCCAGGTTTTGTCTAGAGAGGAGGTGGGGTTTTATAACACGACTTCGAGCGGCTGAGATACTGCACATTAACGAGGCTCGATTCGCATTCACGAATTTAATATGAATACGCGGCGGCCAAAAATGTAGCAAAATGATGGTAAGCGAAACAATAGAGGTTGAAAAAATATTAGGCATCAATCGCGGACATTTTAAGTGAGTTGATTTCGCACCGCGTCGGTTTCATATTGAAGGTCGTCGCGTTGATGCGCGCGTTGATATTTTGCTCTTCCAGGACCGTTGGTGATCCATTCAAGCCAACAAGTTTGGAGAGAATGTTTGAGTTTAATCAATTCAGAGCGACGAGATGGAGCCCAACTCACTCCTGGTAATATCATCCACTCCGCTTTCATTTCTGCCTCTAATGAATTTATTGCGCGCGCGCATCTAGGCATACGTTACGATAAGGAATCAATGGAAGAAACTTTAGGACAAAAGTTAATATTTTATTATTCATATTTCCATATAATGTGATTTATCATCATGTGATCAGCTGGAATGCGCTGGTCGCGTCTGATCCTGCGTTATATCAAATGTGTCTGTATGTTGCTGAGTATAAATATGGCATGTCTATTTGTGTTTCCGCAGTGGGTAGGCTCACCTTGTGGTTTGCACGGACCTTACATTTTCTACAAGGCGTTTAGATTTCACCTTGAAGGCAAAGCGAGAATTTTGTCCCTGGGTGATTTTTTCTTGGTCAGATGTAAAGCAGGGGACCCCATCTGCATAGCAGAGCTACAGCTCTTATGGGAGGAAAGGACAACCAAGCAACTTCTATCCAGCTCCAAACTTTATTTTCTCCCAGAAGATACCCCCCAGGGCAGAAATGTCACTCACGGAGAGGTAAGTTCTCGTTTTCCTGCTTTCCACGAAGGTTTATTGTGGTATGGATGAAATATGAGCTGCGTGCGGCTTTGCATCGCATCTACTCCGCTGTCTGATCGCAAGACATCTAATGCATCGCGTTTAATAATAGACGTGCAGTCATAGTGGACCCTTGTGTTAATTTCACCTCGGCTCATTTGCATACGAGCGTTTAGCGCTTGCATTTCAAACAGCGTGCGAGGATGAGAACGATGCCATTGTGTGAAGTTGTCACATCAGTGCTTTGCTTGTTTCATCTGATATATACAATAGGCTAGTGCGGAAACTGATCGAGACGACTGAAGCGCCGCGTTGTGGCGTTGCGATCTGCTGATTGTTGATAAAATAGTGTTGCTTCTGGTGAGACGCGTAGATCAAGGCAAATAAATACGATCGAGGTGAAGTGCACTGTTGCTGATCGCCGCTAATGATATACGGCTTATGCTGGAGAATATGGAAGCCAGACGTTTGAAGTGTGCGATGCGAACTAATATCAATAGGAATTGATTAATAACGGCGCGCTGTTTAAGCAGCTGCGGTGCATTAAAGGGAGCGAGTGACATTTATGAAGGTTATTATGTCAAAGTGCTGCAGCCTCATTCCACATTACACACAAGCTGAGATGTGTTTGCCCGACAGAAAAAGCTTCTTTCTGGGGATTTAACCCTTTGATGCGCTGAAACATTGTTCCTTTACAATACTGTGTTTGTTTGTGCTGCTGTGCGTTTATATACTAAGTAAGGTTTAAATGATTTTTAATAACACCTATGTCGTGTTATGTTGTAGAGCTGATTGTAACTACTTTGTAATACATTATTATATTAAAATAATAGCCTATATAATTACGCCTGATGATACTAAATAATTATTAAAATAATAATAATATTAATAATAATAACATGTGATATCTGTAGGATGCTCTGTAAAAAGTGTAATCTTTATATAGCTGTTTCTAACAGATCTGACCATTAACATGATTTTGTTTGTGGAAGCTAATGTAGTCAGGTTGAGTCAGTCATAAATATTACAGATTTTAATTTTTTTTACTGATGATGATTATGTTTTATGTTTTTTGATGTGTCCAGTAGCTAATATTCAAAACAATTGAATTTTTTACTGACTTAAATTTTTAATAAAATGATAAATAATAATAATAATAATAATAATAATAATAAAAAAAATAATAATAAAATGTGATATTGCAGGGTACTCTTTAAAAATGCACAGCTTTTTTTTTTCTTTTTTTTTTCTTCCGACCATTACAATTATTTTGTTTGTGGAAGCTAATGTAGTCAGGTTGAGTCAGTCATAAATGGGTACTCATTAAAAATGTAACTGCATTTTTATAGCTTTTTTTTTTTTTTTTTTCCTGACCATTAAAATTATTTTGTTTGTGGAAGCTAATGTAGTCAGGTTGAGTCAGTCATAAATATTACAGATACTATTTTACTATTTTACTATTTTTATGTGTTCAGTGGCTAATATTCAGAGCCAATAGTTTTATTGACATTCATTTTTAATACAATAACTAAATTATTTATGCAAACAACACAATAAAATGATTAAAATGTATTTTACCTATGAACATAGTAATTATCTGTTAAACACAGTGGTGCTGATGTTGTGGTTGATCTATTTCTGATATTAACTGCTAACTTTTTAAAATAAGATAACTGATTAAGTAGAACTTTGTGAATATTGGTAAAAAACATTGGTCGTACAAATGATCATTTTATCTTATACATCATGTATTACTGTTATTACAGAGCTAATATTATTTTTGACTACACATGAAGCATATTTTGATAAAACAGTGTCTACAAGACTGTAATGTAAAGCTTTCCCATCCATTGTGCACTAGCAGTTGTGTTGCAATTGCTGTTTTAACAAAGCAGCACAGCTACGGTCTTACATGGGTAATGTAACAAGGTCTGTACCTGTTTTATCTTGCACTGCTCATGTAATCACCGATCCCAAATACAAAAAGACAATCTGCTGTGTGTGAACCTCTACTGTTCTACTGTCCTCCCCCCGTGGAGTGGAGGATCAAATAGCCTTTTCAAAATAATCAACAGGTTCTGTGTGAAGCCCTGTCGAAATGTCAAGGTTACTTTGCTGAATTATTATCAATATTAGGTGGAAACATAAACCGTTGCCTGCATCGACCTTGAAAACATGTTGTTTACACAATGTAACGAGGTGTTATTGAGGAAAAGCATTAGTCTTAATGCACTGTTTGTTCAGTTGATCAGAGCCCTGTCCTCTTTCCAACTTGCCACCGGCCTCCCTCCCTTCCCCCACTCAGCAGCAATGCCAATTATTTGCTTTTCAAATTTATTACGCATTCATGACTGCTGATCTTGAAACGGCCTGGGAGATAGGATTACTAGCCAAGGACAATGCTCTGCACTTAGGTATACTTTCCAGTTTTGAGAATATGGGCCATTTTCTTAGCTGTTAGTCATTTTTGGGAACTATTTTTAGGAGTACTAACATTATCATTATTATTAGTACATATTTCTAAGTACTAATCTGTGCATGGTTTATCCAAAAATGAAAATTCTATGGAATACAATGGAAGTCAATGGCTGCCGTCAACTGTTTGGTTACAGACATTCTTTAAAATATCTTTTTGTGTGTGTGTTCAACAGAAGAAAGAAACTCATGCAGGTTTGCAAAAGATATTTTGAAGAATGCTTGTAACCAAATAATTTGCTGGTAGCTATTGACGTCCACAGTATGGAAAAAAATACTATGGAAGTCAATGGCTACTGTCAACGTTTTGGTTACCAAAATTCTTTAAAATATCTTCATTTGTGTTCAACAGAAGAATAAAACTTATGCAGGTTTGCAAACGAAGATATTTGGAATAATGCCGGTTTACCAACATTTCTGGTAGGCATTGACTTCCATAGTATGGAAAAAAATACTATGGAAGTCAATGGCTGCCGTCAACTGTTTGGTAACAAACATTCTTCGAAATATCTTTTTTTTTTTTTTTTAAC